GGCGAGGCGGGCACACCGTCACGGGTATCTATCGAGATATTTCTGACACGTAATAAAGCGAGAAGCCTCCCTCTGCAATTAAATAAACCGCCTTTATTTGTACGGAGCCCTTCGCTGTTCCCATCCCAGGGAAAATACACAAGTCTTGCAGGCACCCCGGCCAGATTTCCCTGAGCTGCTCAAGGCGGGAAGGGTTTTGGGGCACCGAGTCCGTTCTCAAGCACCAGTGAGGTCCCGCCGTCTCTTCCCAGAGCAGGATGCAGGATGGGCTCACAGACCACAAACACTCCTGCTCAGCTCAGGCAACGTGATGGGCAATGTAGAAGTAAAAGAGCTGAGCCTAGGTTTTGAATCAAAGTGCTTCTTTCTGGGAAAACCCAGCCAGAAGCCTCCAAAGGGCGGGCTGAGGTTGTGCCCGAATTCAGTAGAAGAAGGAAGGGCCTGTGCCACACCTGCCCTCCCACCTCCATGGCCACGACTTAAAATGTCGCTTTGGGGGACAAAAAGGGGTGAGAAAGGCAGTATTCCGTGAATGCCAATGTGCCTGTTTTCTCCGAAGTCAGTTTTTCCTGTGTGTGTTTTTTTTTTTTCCTGCCCAGCATGACACCTCTAAACCACAGCAGGTTCAGTGCTACGTGGAACTGGTTTTAGCAGTGGGAGAACAGTGGCTGCAATTTCCAGCTCTATGAGCAGCCCCACTGCATGCTCGGCCCGTCCTGCCCCTGGCTGCTCCCCAGCAGAAAATCTGTGTGTTTATTTACAACACTGTACTTCTTTCTACAGATCAGGTCTCAGGGGGCAAAATCCCTTCTGTGTATGAAACCAGTACTGACTAGCTCAGACATTGTCTTCCGGAGGCTGCAGGCGGCCTGAAACAATAGGGGTGTGCAGAGTGTCCTGATAGATTTCCATTTCTGGACCGCAATAAATCTGAAACCTAATTGTAACAGCTCTAAAAAAGACCCACGGTCATTAGCTGTTTGGGAATCAGTTTGGTACTCAGCCATCACACACAACCCCCAAAGGCCTCACGTCTTCCTGCATACCAGAAGAACCCCTCAAAATTGAACAAAGCCTCCAGGTTCTCCTCAAAAACTTTCAGACACAACCCCAAGCTTGAATGTGGACGTAGCAGCACAACATAAATGGGAAGCACACTGGGGAAGGGCAGCCTAAAAGTCCCTAGCATTCAGTGTGACAAACCAACTAAGGACTGATTGTATTGTTGTGTTTCATATACAATTGAATCCAAATGTCTGGGGTTTTTTTAAATGCAACCCAGTTTTAGCCAAAACCCTGGACTACAGACAGTTGCCTCCTATTTTTGGGGTTTTGCTGACACCTGGTGTTCTAGAAAAGATGCTGTGAGGTCCTGTGGGTCCCTTCCCTGGCTTGTGCTGGGATGGCTGTTCTCTGTCAGCCAGATGTGTGTTTGGGAGCTAATCCTGAATTTGGGCAAAAGTCTGAGAAACGTAGGTGTGCATTTAGATTTCACTGTGATATAATAAAGCGGGGAATTTGTCTTCACAGCAGGGAGTGGGGGAAAACACTATGTGGAGAGATACAATCACCAGTGCTCCGAGGGGATAGTCTGGCCACTTCACATACAAAAAGAAACAAGCAAGAAGAACCTGAGGACTTGAATGAATTTAAACAAACCTAGATATCTACCTCAAGAAATTTACACAGCCTAAACCTCTGAACTTTAGGAACTAGTAGGCATGCTGAATGAACTTATACATAGTAACTTCTCCTCCCAGGAGAGGCATAAACTGAAATTAATGAGACATGGGGTGTATGATGTAAAGCGGGGTACATGTTGAGGGGGATCTGTAGCAGGCATACCGGGCAGTCTGTACACTCGGACTACCTCAGCCAATGGGGAAAGGAGGAGGGAAATTTGTGGCTGAGAAATTAGGGTAAGAAGGGGGCTGTGTCTCCCAGAAAAACTGAGAGACCCCACCGGGATATGCCGTGGACTCTCCCTTTATTCAAATAAAGTATATTTTACAGGACTCCTCTGTCTCCTATTGGAACATTGACCTCTGGCAACGGCATTTTCCGCACAACTGGCACTCTGTTTTCTCCAGAGAGGTGCTGCAGCAGCTGTGTTTGTAGCATGTCTCACTATGTTACTGCAAACCCTGTGGTACACTTCGTAACTTCAGGAGTGCGTGGAGCTGCAGGGGAAACCCTCAGGTCTCATTTATTTTTAAATAGTGCATTTCATTGCAAGGGAAAACTATCCAACAATGTGATCCTAACCAAAGAGATATGCCTGCAGTGGCTGCTCTACCCAAAGAACCATTTAGGATTAGCATCCAAGACCCAGGAAACAAAAAGTTGAGTACTCATGGAAGCAGCATTCTCATTTATTCAGTTAAAGCACATTTTTTTCCCCAACAAAAAAGAAGGAAAAGCAAGAGGGCATGTTTCACACCATTAAAGGAGGGAACTAAAGTCTCGTGACACCTAAACAAATCAAATGCAGGAGTGTGTGGCATCAGGAGATGTTGCAATGGAGCTGAACAAAGAGCTGTTTGTCAGCAACAGTGTTTGGTTCTACCTCAGGACATGGGCCTGAGGTAACAGCAAATGGCTCTGGCTGTGGAAGCTATCAAAGATGGCAAAACAGCCACCACAAAGTGCATTAAAAAGTCCAGTCCCACAACCTTCCTTCATACAGACACTCTGCCTCTAGCATTTATCACACATAGCACCTAGTCCTACTAAAATGATATTTCAAATGCAGGAAAAAATTAATTTCCAGCTCACAGCCTGGACTGCAACAGAGAGTTACTGCAAACTCTGTCCAGTCTTGTCTTTCCAGAAGAAGTCCTGGGAGACCAGGGCGTGAGAAGAGCCTGGCTGACAAACACACTTGCCTTGAAAGCTGTGAAGAGCTAACAGCACCAAGACACCTCTTGGTATGTGACCACACTGCCTTTCAGTGCCACGCTTTTCCTCTGATGGGCACTGTGAAGATCTGCATCTGCAAACTAGGTCTGAAAATACAGGATGAAAATAGAAGCCACATTTGGTGAAGCTTTTCTTAAAGTCCATTGTTTGAATCTCACACACCTGAGTACTTCACTGAATTACAGCCTGATAAGGAATGTCACTACCTTTTTTTTTTTCCTTTGTTCTTGTCTTTAAAACATTCTCAGCCTCTGCAAAATGTGTCCCCCTCTCTACACAACAACATCAGTATCTCAAGGAGCCTAATGCCTATCTGTAAAAGGGACAGTGGCTCCCCCATGAATAACAGGCACTCACTGTCCACGTCCTCTGCCCAAAGGTTTGCTGGACCAGCATTTTCATCTCATTCCAAATGCCTGCCCTGCACAAATCAGAGCAGTGACATCTCCCCAGGCAAACACTGCTCTAAACAAAATTCCATAAATAAATCCACCCAAGTATTAAATATTTACAGCACAAACACATAAGGAAGACATTACAACACAAGTCAATAAATAATGAGAAGGACGTGACTGCACTCCTGTGATGAAAGCTGCTGTTCCACACGTGCAAGGGGTAGCTGTAGTCAGTCTTTGCTGAGCAGCAAAGTCAATTTGGGATCTTCTCCCTCCAGTTCCATTGCCCAGGGACACGTAGGCTTTGAGATTCAGGGGACAGCAGAGGCTTGAAGGATCTATCATGTGGCCAATGTTTCAAGATGACTGACCCCCTCACATCACTTCAAAGTGCAATCAAGTATTCCAAAAACACCACAAAGGTCTACAGCCCCCACTGTGAAAACAGTAGCAGTCCACATCCTCTCATGGGGAGTAGTCACAGTTTTCTTAGAAACTGTCGTACAACCTTACTTCAATGTTTCTCACTGAAGTTCGTGGTGACATCAGCCTTTCCGTGTTATTGCAGTAAAAATATTGCTCATTTTGGGGCAACAATTTGATATTTCACAAGTCCAGAAGTTTCTACTAGGGAACTGAAGCAATTCTGTATGAAAAGGAGCATGCCATGAAGTGAACAAAAACATCTATCACCATTTTTTCCCTTAAAAATCATAGAGGTATTTCACATGCAGTCGTACACAATTTTCAGTCAGTGTGTTAGACTGCATCTGTAGCAAGGTGAATAGTTTACAATTTTGTAAATAATTCTACATCCTCTCCTGGAGGATGTGCATTCCTTTATTGGAACACCCTCTAGGTGTTGTAGTCTTGATTAAAGATAATTAAATACTTCACTGGTTTTCTGAATGCCTGAGGAAATGCATCTCATCCTCCTGAGGTGCTTTCACACTGGAGAACATGACCTGCTCAGCAGTTATTCTTTACAGTCTTCTGTACAATAAAAGCTCAGATGAAACAAAACACCATTAAATGTTCACGCTTGGTTCAGTGCAATGACTGAAAACCTAATAGTTGCAGTTTTTAGTTGTAGGAACTTTGATTTCCTAGTTCTTGTTCTTCAAGTTCACTTGTTCTTCAGTGCAGTTTTTGAGGGCAGTGGGAGATGGAGAGGAATTCCTAGGTAGGCAAGGGCACTTTGTTGCTAGTAGAAGGAGAAACACAGTCTTGGATCTTGGCTTGCCAAATTCTCAGCAAAGCTCTTGGGCACTGGATTGTCCCACAGCCTACAATGACAGCAATGTGTTACTGCAGGTCTAAGTATGGTGAGCAAGGAGGTGGCATGCCAAAGAGAGCGAGTGGAAGAGGCAGCTCTGGGTTTTCATCAAAGCAGGTCCAACAGTGAGACAGGAGTGAGGTCTGGCCATATCCCAGTGACACCAGAGCAACCCAGCAGCTAGCTGCCTGCTGAGGAGGACTCATTTATCTAGCTTGGGAGAGAGATTAAGGCTTTGAAAAGTCATCAGGCCACAAGGACCTCAGAAAGCAGAGAAAGAACTGAGCTACACACAAGCAACCTGGATTTACACGAGTCATTCCTTAGAATCATAGAATGGTTTGGGTTGGAAGTGACCTTAAAGATCACCTAGTTCCAACTGTGGACAGGGACACCTCCCACTAGACCAGGTTGCTCAAAGCCTCAGCCAGCCTGGTCTTGAAGACATCCCTTGCCAGGGTATCCACAATTTCCCTGAGCAACATGTACCAGTGTTTCACCACCCTCAGAGGGAAAAACTTCTTCCTGTTTTCTCATCTAAATCTCCCCTCCTCCAGTTTGAACCCATTACCTCTCATCCTGTCACTACAAGCACTCCTAAAAAGTCCCTCTCCAGCTTTCTTGTAGGCCCCCTTCAGATACTGGAAGGCCACCAGAAGGTCTCCCTAGAGCCTTGTCATCTCCAGGCTTAACAACCACAGCTCTCTCAGCCTGGCCTCACAGCAGAGGGATTCCAGCCTTCACATCATCTTTGTGGCCTCCTCTGGACCTGCTCTAACATGTGTATATCCTCCTTGTGCTGAAGGCTCTAGAGCTGGACCAAAGACTGCAGGTGGGGTTTCACCAGAGCAGAGCAGAGGGGGAGAATCCCATCCCTTGACCTGGTACCCATGCTGCTGGGAATGCAGCCCAGGGTACAGTTGGAGCTTTCTGGGCTGCACTCACACATCATTGGTTCATGTTGACCTTTGTATCTACCTCATTTGGTGGAGCCTACCCCAGAGCTGCCCATACTGGGCTTCTAGCATGCAAAGCAAAGTGCCCTGAGGAGTAAAAGGGACCGTGTGCTGTGCTGTGCCCACCAATCTAAACAAGCACACAGGGGCCCTAAGCTCCAGCTCCAGAAACAGCCCTCAGTGGTTGCTCCCTGGCTGCTCTCGCTACTGGGGAAGGCAGAGACTGTTTTGGGCCAAAGGGACAGGTCAGGTAGGAGCAGACACTTGGCTCTGGGACCTGTGTTACCAGAAAGTTATCAGAGGTGCTCTCAGAAGAATGGCTTTTCAAATGAGTGAAGGATGAGTGGGTCTCTCCTACAAGAGGCTTCTAGTGGAGTTTGATACACAAGGTTTGGAGAAGCAATGACAAAGAGTGGGAAAAATCATGTGTCTGAGTATGTGCAAGATATGGATCCCAGGACAGAGTGGGACCAGGCAGGAATGGATCAAAGAAATTAAATCAGGAGAAAGAAAACTTGTAAGGAAAAAAACAAAACAAAACAAAACTTCCTGGTGGGGATGTTACAACCCCAAGTCTTCATTTTTACCTCATTTAAAGCCAGAAAGCATTTTTCCCAGGACTTTCTGAGGAGGTTGAGCCGGGCTAGAAAACACTCGGCTTTCTTGGCTTGTGTCTGCATCCCCTGCAATATCCTGTTCCATGCCACGTAACCCCGGGCAGCAGGCCGGCATGGGTCGTGTCTGCCCCAAGTCTGGTCACCCCAACTTCCCTTTGCTGAGCCAAAACCCAGCCCCACAGAGCCTTGTGATACCTGCTCACCTTATGAACTGAATTTCTGGGCACTTGGCAAGTTCCTCTGCCAGCTTTGTGGCCCCACAGGCACCAATGCAATTTTTCTCCAGACTGTTTTAGAAACAAAAAGAGAGTTTTAAAATCCAAAGCCAAACCAAGAGTGGAAAAGAGCTGACTAATCACTGTCTCCTTCTCCTGCCCAAAAGAAAGGGTCACTTTGGCAAAAGCACAGCAATGCTGTACAACTTACATCAGCCTCACCTTTAACTCTGTGACCTTTAACTTTATGGCAAGTGTGTGTGTGCTGCTCTCTATAGCCTTCTAGCAACAGGACTGGCAAGCAGATCTCTTGCCCTTGGAGCACTCTAATAGATCCCACTGCAAACTTGAAGCCAAAAAATGGTCCTAACAACTCCTCCTGCCTCAGACACAACCTTCCCTCTTGTACCTGTAAAACAGTCAGACTCTACAACGTAGTTTCTCTACACAAGACAAAACTCAGTTTCTGGCCCTATGACCAAAAGACCAATATTTTCATACAGCTGAGATGGAAGACACACACCATGTATTCCAAGGGGAGGAAAGCTCCATGAGCTGCTGTTCTGGAGCAGAAGATGACAGTAGCTGCTGGTAACAGCACTGGGCTGTGACGCTGCCACACCAGTGCTTGAGCTGGTGACACAGACCCCAGGTGGTGGCTGCACCACAGCTCCAGCACAGGAGCTGCAGTTGAGCTTCCTATGAGCTCCTGTGGCCCAACACCCAAAATCTGGCTGCTCCATCCTGGGGATGGATTCCTTCCCTTGCTGCAGGCTCTCACAAACGCAGGCTCTCTGAGCAAGGTACCCATCTAGGCCATCCCAGGCACTGAAGAAAAGTAGAACCTTGCAAGCAGCAGCTCATCTGAAGTCATCAGGTGATATTACTCAAGCCCTAGAAATACCAGTTTGTCTTTTCCGACTCAAAACAGGAGGCCTTCACAGATCTTTGCTTCTGCTTAGATACCTACACTGAAAACACCTTAAATAAAACCAACATTACTTCAGTGCCTGTGTGTCACCCAAGCAAGACTGGCCCTTGGTGCATGGAGCAGACTAAGCAAGAAGTTAAACTGCAGAAGCCTGTTTGTCTGTTGTTCCTAACGTACGCCTTTGTTTTTGGAAATCCTCTGATTGAAGGCTCAATGACAAAAAAAAACCAAACAAGTCCTCCTGGGGCAGCTTTCAGAGCTGTACTCACTCCAGCGTCTTCAGCTTTTCCATCCCTGGGAGAGCACTGGCCAACTCTTGGGCTCCTCCATCTCCAAGGGCATTCCAGGACAGTCTAGGACAAGAAATCCCAACTGCGAGTCAGTCGATAAGCACACAGGGAACAACAGGAGTGCTGTGACCATATCCTCTCATAGACTCACCTGTGTACAAGAGCTTAACACCCTCTTATCATGGCCAGTAAACATTCCCCTACTTTATATGCTTAATTTTGAGGAGCTTCCTCAGTTTCACTAGGTATTTCCAGGTATGGTAAGACACCAGGGAATGTCACCACAGAGCCTGAGGACTGTTGTTATTTCCTGCAGGTCTAAGGAATGAGATGCAAAGGATGGAAATGACTGGTGAGCACACAACTTCACCCCAGGGAAACCTCCTTGTGCTCCTGATGTTAAACTACTGCAGCAGCTAAGGTGCCTCTCAGACCTGCTCTTAAAGCTGCCTTCTGACTCTGAGCTCTTTCAATGGACAGCTCAGCTTGCAGGGCTCTCAAAAGGCTGGGTTTTTCCATTTCTGATGCCTTAGCAAGTAAGAAAATTCTTCAGATCCTTTCTCTGCTACTGGCTGAACAGCCTGGCCATTTCCCTCTCACCCAAAAATCAGAAACCCAGCACATCACCAGTCAGTGCTTCACTCAGCTGAATGGTTCTGGGGCCAGCCCAGAGAGGCACTCTTCTACCGAAGTCTGGGGAACACCAGGATTTCTGTATGGCATGTAAAAGCCAAAAAAACCAGAAAAGCAGGACAGGATCCAGCTCAAGAACTGGGGCCTTCATGGGTATCATTCACTGTGTCACTCAGATTTCCTGATGATGGAACTCACATATTGCTCCACTACTATGCCAAGACCTCTCCTAATACCACTATTAAAGAAGAATCTGCTTATCTGTTAGTAATTCAGGAGTAGTAACTCCCCACAGAGTTGACTAGGTCTTAGTGCCATGCTGCAGGCAACACACCTATGCACTGAATATTGCTTTACTTGTCCCATTACTCCACTGGATTATTTCCAGGCCCCTCCTCAGTGTGGCAATAAAATCCTGACTTTGATCCCAAGTCCTAAGAGATCTGTAATTTCCACACTGATACCTTCTGGGAAATGGGGAGGAAGGTCTGGTGGGCTTATGACCCATACATCATGTTACTCAAACCATCCACGAGGACTTTGCAGACACATCAGAGTAACATGATAATCAAGCATCACCCAGCTGGCCACAGCAGAGAAAACTAGAGAGGCCAGGTCACACAGATCTAAATCCTGCAAGAGGAGTAATCTCAGTCTAGGAGGTCTGGACCCTGCCAGCACCTCAGGCAGTTTTGGTCTTCATTAAAGCTCCAGGTAGCTCAGGACTGATGGGACTGCTGCTGTCTCCATGGGATCCTGTGTGCTAGAGTTAAAGTTAAGGTCCCTCTAGCACAGTAGGGCAAATTGCTTTTCAAAAGCCATAAGCTGGAGCAGGTTCCCAGAAGGCTCCTTGCTGAGGTTCTCTTGGACAGGCAAACACATCAGAACGTAGTGAGTCCATCTATGCTGTTCACTGAAAACATTAAACAGCCACACATCAGAGCAATCCCTTTTATTCCAGCGTGGAGAGTGAGACTGCAGCTGGCGGTACACCCTGTTCATCTCCAGGTTGAATTTGCCTTGCCTTGAGCTCTCAATTCAGTCTCCACAATTGCACAGGGAAGCTCCTGCTCTGCTCTGCAAGCCAACCGTCGCCATCTTGTAAAAAAATGCAGGCAAGATTTGGACCATGGAGAGCAAGATGGGGAATTTGTCTGCCTCACAAAGGAGATGGTAAAAGATCAAGGATAATGGGCAGAGTTTGAAGATGAGCGTTTTCCTCCATATTCTGCTCAGCACTTCACATTCAGCTTCCAGTAAGTTGCTAGTTATCACAGGAAAATTTAAGCAGTGCATTTAGCAAATTAGTAAATCACTGGTAAATTTTTCACTAAAAAGGACTTAGTGATAAGTATCAGTAAGTATTTAGTACCATCAGAAGCTGCAGTTGAAGATAGGAGCAGACATTAAAAGAAGAGTGACCTGTGTGTTGAAGGACCTCCCCATCCATTCCCACACTCACATTATCTCCTCCACGGAAGGGCACTGTTGAAAGCTGTGAGAAAGTGATTTTGAAGCATCATCAGAGATTCCACAGAGTTTCAAGCTGAAGCGGTGAGGAGATAAAAAACAGAGAGTACAATGTGCTAGTCATGGAACTGGTAGGAAATACAGCACCAGCACCAGCTGGTGCAATCCTGCCCTGGTAACACTACCCAGCAAGCCAGCTACACTCTGCCCTGGCAGCCTTCACCACCCTGGTACTCACTCAATCTTCCGGAGCTGTTTGAAGCGTGGCAGCCCCTTGGACAGGGTGTGGATGGCTCCTTCCCCAAGGTCATTTTCTGATAAACTGTAAGAGTAGTGGAAAAGCTTTGAGTGGCCACAGAAAAAGCATGTACAAACAGAGAAAAGCAACCACAAAAACTCAACTCTATGAATTCACAAGTCAATAACCAGCACCCTGACTATGTGAGGACTGCAGACAGCAGGGACGAGCCAAATCAGCACAGGGCAGCCTGGGGTCAACTCCCTGATTGGTGAAATAGGAGCAACACCCCTCTTCTAACTCACACCCTAAGTCCACTCAGCAGTGAACTGCCTGCAGACAGTAATGCAGGGTGAAACCAGTGGCTAAGGTGGACGGACCAGCAGCACGTCATGTGTTGCACATGAAACTGGAAATAAGAAGTTATACTGGAGGTAATGATTGGTGTGACTTGAGGGGAAATGATGGTAGGGGATGGTGGGAAGAAGACATAGCTCTCAGACTCAGAGGGCAGCAGTAACTGCCTTCCAGCCTTTAGGAAGGAGGAAGGAGGAGGGAGGAAAAAAAAAAGGAAAAGGGAAAAGGGAAAGGAAAAAGGAAAAGGGAAAGGGAGAGGGAGAGGAAGAGAATATTTCAGTTGGAAGAGACCTACAATGATCATCTAGTCCAACTGCTTGATCACTTCAGGACTGACCAAAAGCTAAAGCAACTTTTTAAGGGCATTATCAAATTAACACAGAACAATAATAAACATATAACAATAAACACATAATGAAGAACACTGGCATCAAGGATGCAGGAGGAAGAGTTTATTCACTTCATCCCCATCCTTTTAGTTCTGTATTTAGAAATTCTACCACTCCCCAGGTAGATTTTCTCCTGGGTAGCCACTCCCTTTCAACTGCACATGCTGCAGTTGAAAGGCATGTGGCTACAGCAGGCCTGGCAAACAGCCCTGGCAGACAAGGTTTAACATCAGAAGTGATCCAAGCTGCCCTGTAGGCAGGGCACCATGGTGACCTTCAGCAAGTGTCTCCTCTTATCCTATGAAGAGTGTCCAGGACAGGTGGAGGGCCTCTGCAGTCACCCTGAGCACAGAACGAGCCCATGGGACAGCCTCAAGCCTGTGAGCCAAATGCTCCCCACACGTGGGGTTATCCCCATCCATACCCTTGGCACCATCCCAAAGGCATCAGTCACAGCCTACCTTATCTCTTCCAGCAGCTCACATGCCACCATTGCTCTGGCCAGCTCCATGCCTCCCGCTGGCCCAGTGTTAGTGTCCTGCAAGCTAACGAAAGAAACACTGGAGGATTATTTTAGAATAAAGCTGTAACAAACTCACATTTAACTTGCCAAGAAAATAAGTACTACATCTTTTGAATCAGAGCCTGGTGCTGGTAATAACCTGGGATCTTTAAAGATTAGTCTTAATGAAGAGACCTGGAAAACAGGGAGGCTACAGTGAAGCCAGCATGTCACACAGGTCCTGCTGCTGTCAGTGACACCCAGGCTAAGGACACACGAGTTCAGCGGATCTGCCCATGCTCACAAGAAAAAAGCACTGCTGCTGCAAGAGCAAAGGCTGCATGGTACCACTAGGAGCCTGTCTCTAGCTCTGTGCACATGGGAATCTGTTTGAGACGAGTGAGGAACTCCCTTAAGAACAAGGAGTGGACAGGACCTCATCCTGCAGGTTTCCCGATGGTGTTCCTGTGAAGACAAGAACCCACACAGAGGCCTGAAGTCTCCCACTGCTGGGATTCCTTTTCTGAGGTACCTTTTGATGATACTTTAGACATGGGCTAAGACACACCACTAGGCCAGCTGAGCTCAGTGAGCTCTTCTAGCTCACCAATTTCTTGCTTTGCTACTCTAAAACAGTATCAGAAAGTCCTACATGTTAGAGCCCTGGAAAGACTCCTATAAAATATTTTAAAATATAATACCACTGAGTTCAGGGGGAAAAATGACTCAGAGGAGCATGCAGAGAACAGTGAGGGACCACAAAAGGTGCTCATATATATGCTTAGATTACACCAGAATGAAAGGACAGGCAGAGGCACTAGAAACTAACATACTCCTGTCATAGTTACAGGGGCTGGCACCAGATTATCATTATGTGGGTAGAACCAAAATCTGTGTATTCTATACCCTCTATGTCATTGTTCATGGGCTAACAAATCATTTGTAGCAGCTGCCCAGGACAGACCTCACATCCCAGGCTACAAGAGATAAGGAAAGAGATCTGGGGAGATGTTAACACCTTCACACCCAGCAGGAGGAGTCCTCTCCGTTAATGGGCCCATCCATGTCTTGCCCCATGACTCATAGAGAACCCTCCCCAGGAGCTATTTCTGTTTAATGGACCATCAAGGACCCACCGCGTGACTCATAGAATGACATCAACCCATTGGGAGATGCTCTGCCCAGGGGGAGGAGCCAAGTGCTCCCACCTGGATATAAACTGGGGTTCAGGACAGCACAAGGCGCCCTTACCCACTGGGTTTCCAGAGGACAAGAGCTACCAGATCTTTTCTACGAGATCACTGCTTCATCTGGACTGCTACCACCACCCTAACTACAGAGTGTCAGGTTGTATTCTGACTCTGTCTTTTTTCTTTGTATTATTGCATCTATTTTATTTTTCCTATTAAATTGTATTTCTGACTTCGAGTGTCCCACTGGTTTGCTTTCAAACCATTACAATTCCAAAATAATTTAAGCGGTTATTTCACTGTGTATTCAGTGTCTGGTTATCTCTAAAGTTAATGCTGCAAGAGATTATGCAAGAATAGTTGGTGTGACTTGATGCAGCAGAGTGACTGTGGAGGGTTTCACATCTTGAGACACTTCAGTCTAAACAACAGGCAAGTGCACCACTGTGGTCCATGCCTCTTCCCACGCCTTCTGTCAGCTACCCTGCAGGCTCCCAGGATGTCCAGCTTTCCTCAGGCAGAGGCTGACACTTACTGCAGGACCTTCAGGTTGGTCATGTGAGGCAGACAGAGGGCAAGTTTCACTGCTGTCTTGTCTCCAAAAACATTCCTTGACAGTCTGGAAGGAGCAGAAATGAAATGTTACTGGCAATGAATGACAGAGCCTCATTCCTTACCTGTGTGTCACCCACACATGTCCGTGACCCCCATTCCTCACCCATGTGTCCATGGGACCGTGCTGAGAGGAGCTAATGTCCACAATTCAAAGGACACTGAGGGTAGGAGGAAAGAACAGTGAGGGGTTTTGATCCTGCAGCAGAAGTTAAACAGGGAAGTAAAACTGACTTACACTTCTCAGGAGCACACTCATCTATCTACCTTTCTGTCTGAGTTGGCTTGAGCTGCAATTAAACTGAAATTGCACTTTTTAGTATGTGCCCTTAGTCCAGTATGCTGTAATCTGAAAGTTATATGAACAGCTCCAGCATTTCAACTGTAACAGAAATAACTCTTGATTTGGTTTCTTCTTATTCTTATTATTTTATAACTTTAATATGGCAGGGCACATAGGTTCTATAAACTGGTCTGGAATGGAATGACTGATAATACATCTGGCTGAGTAAAGCCTCTGTCACCTCTCCATTTTTGCAGCCATACAAATTAACTGATTTCTTAGGCAGCACAGGCACTGCACAGCCCACAGCCTGCGACACTGGCCATTAAACCACAGGTTCAGCTCTTGCCCACTGGTACCGTCCGTACGGGTCTTGAGAATCTCTGAGAGATTCCAGTGAACAACCAATACCCAAACCTCCCACACCCAGCCCCACACACTCCTATCCCACGTAGCTGGAAGCCCAGAAGCGCATAAACTCATAGCTCGTTATCCTGCTTGCATAAGAATCAGTGATAAAAATTATTTTGGATTTACTGCAGCCAGAATAGATTTGGTTCCTTTGTCTTGATTTTTGCCCAGCTTCCTGAAGAACATTGGAAAGGACACACTTACAATAACTCCTCGATGTGCTTGCAATAGGCAAGAGCTTCCATCAGCTTTTCCCCTCCAGCAGGACTAGGACTGTTCCCTGAAAGGCTGAAACAACCATGGAAGACTATCAGTGACTGAACAGGAATCAGAATGTACCAGCTGAAGATATTTCACTGTTTGCCTGGTGTGATGGGAGACTTGGGTAGCTGCAGTGCTGAGCTGCATGAGGCTGCAATGGTGTGTCCAGAGACACAGATCTCTGGAAAATAGCCTGGGGATTTGGAACGTGTCTTTGTCAAGTACTGAGTCGCTTCTGCCCCAGCAGATACTGGGGAGAAGAAGCCGTTTTCCTTCTCCCAGACAGACCTGGGAATTTACTTTTCTTGTTAAGCCAGTTCCAGGTTTTTTTATTTCATAGAATGGCTGGGCTGGAAGGGACCTCTAAGGGTCATCTCTTCCAACCCAAATTTCACAAAATTACACCCACAGATAAGCCTGACAAAATGCTTTAATTTCTGTTCCCTTGGAAGAGGGACAGTTGGAGTCCATTTCTCTGAGGGAACCTTGTCTACAAGGTTCCTACTTTGACAAACCCTCAATTTCACCTCTACGTCCACCAGTAATAAAAAGCAGTGTTTCAACACTGGGGGTCACTGCACTGGGAACCACACAGAGCCTAAGGGAAGGAGCTGTGTAGATCTGAGACTCGTATATAAAATCATTGAATAATTTTGCTTGGAAAAGACCTTTCAGATCATCAAGTCCAATTATTAACCTAACTCTACCAAGTCCACCACTAAACCATGTCCCTCAGCACCACATCTACACAGCTGTGAAAACACTCCAGGGATGGTGATTCAACTACTTCCCTAGGCAGCCTGTTCCAGGGCTTGGCAATACTTTCAGTGAAGAAATTTTCTCTAATATCCAATATAAAACTCCCCTGGTGCAACCTGAGGCCATTTTCTCTTGTCCCATTGCTTGTTACTTGGGAGAAGAGATTGGCACCCACCTGACTCCAAACTCCTTTCAGGGAGTCGTAGAGAGTGAGATGGGTCTCCCCTGAGCCTCCTCCTCTCCAGGCTAAAAAATCCCAGGTCCCTCAGCCGTTCCTCACAAGACTTGTGCTCTAGACCCTTCCCCAGCTTCGTTGCCCTTCTCTGGACCTGCTCCAGCCCCTCAAGGTCATTCTTGGAGTGAGAGGCCCAAACCTGAACCTTTATTTTCAAGGTACGGCCTCACCACTGCTGAGTACCAGGGTACAATCCCTGCCCTAGTCCTGCTGCCCACACTATTGCTGATGCAAGCCAGGATGCTGGTGGCTTTCTTGGCCACCTGGCCATATGTTGGCTCACATTCAGCTGGCTGTTGACCAACACCCCCAGGTGCTTTTCCACTGGGCAGTTTCCAGCCACTCTTTGCCAAGCCTGGAGTGTTGCAGTGCATTGTGGCCCAAGGGCAGGACCCAGCACTTGGCCTTGTTGAAGCTCATACAACTGGCCTCAGCCCATCGATCCAGCCTGTCCAAGTCCCTCTGTAGAGCCTCCTACCCTCAAGCAGATCAACACTCCTTCCCACCTTTACATCATCTGCAAACTTACTGTACAATTCCTCACAAGCCTGAAGATTTATTTTGCAGGACACAACTGGGCCAGGCATCTCTCCATTTAAACAGCTAGTGAAGGCTGGCAAATGCCCCGCACAAAAAACGTCTCCAGAGCGATTGCACAAGGACATGGCCACAACCTTCACTCCCAGAGAGTCTCCGCACTGGCAGAACAGGTCATTGCCAGTCCCATCTGTACATGGGGAAGTCAGGAGAGGAAATACTTGCAATACTTTCCATTGGTCTGGTAGATTTTGTATCAGGTCTTCAGTGACACTGAAAACTCTGGAAGGTGGAACACTCTACAAATGAAGGTGGAATAGGGCTTCCCACACAGGCTTCCCCACCAATTCTGCCCATAACCAAAAGAGCTGCAAATGAAACAAAGCGACTCACTCAATTCTCTTCAGGTTTTGCATTTCCAGCAGGACAGCAGCTAGATTTATCAGGCCTGGATCTCCAATCTTGTTGTGACTTAAACTTTAACGAAGAGAAAAAAGGCTGTGTTGTAAAGGAAAATTTCAAGTATCAAGCAAAGTGTGAGGTCTTATTTAATGCCTCCCTTGTGATGGATGACACCTCTGACCTTGGCAGCAGAATCAAAAAGCTGCTTGCCTCAACTATCTCATGAAAGACTAATAGCTGTTAATGAGGCTTTTCAAAAAATGGCACAGAGCAATCAAATCACTGGATCTTGTTAATGGGTAGGAAATTACTTCAGCCAGAATACCAAGACAGGCAACAGCTGGTGATTATTTTCCAAACTACTACAGTGAAGAATGGACAGAATCTGGCTAAAAAGGAGAAAAGCAGAGCAAGCAGGGCAAACCCGGGGCTGGTTCTAGATTCAGATCTTTTCAGAGTGGGGAAGAGCCTGAGCCTCTCCCAGAAGGGGGCCTCTGGCCCTGTTCTGGATCCCAGGAATTCCAGAGTAAGTTTAAATCCAGGGGGTGCTTAATTCATTTTCTACATTACTGCAGCAGAGTGGGGTTAGACCAAATTCTCCCCAATCACGCTGTGATTTCCCCTAGCCCACGTCACCTCATACATGAGCATTTTGCAGCCTTCCTGCTTTTGTTACAACATTGTGTATAAGCACATAAGGGTCTCTCCAAACACTGGCACAAGTGGTCCCCTTCCTGGTGATGAGAGACTAGAAGGAAGGAGAAACTTACTTGATTTCCTCTATGTAGTGCATGTTCCTCAAGGCTTCTGCAAGTTTGGAGCACCCATCATTACCAATACTGTTATGGTTCAAGCTGGAAACAACATCCCCAGGAAAACACACATTAAGCTCCTGTTATACAGTACCACAAGCCAGGCTGGAGGCAAGCTGTTCTCACATACTTACACAAGCCTTTTCAGAAACGGCATTTCACGAAGTCCCAGGACCAGCTGAGGAATGGCAGCACTGCTGAGTTTCATGTAGCCCAGGCTAAAAGATGGAATAACACAGGAAGAATTAACTACCCACAGGCAGTTGTGTGAGCACTCAGAGCAGTGGCGACCAGAACAAGGCAGGAAGAGAAGTGGGAGGGTGTTCTGGTCCCTGTGAATAGTTTTCAGTTTTGCCCCCTAGTGCAATTCTACTGGACATGTTTGGATCCTGATAAAATACCAAGAGAAACCCAATCCTCTGGAGCAAGAACCCAGCCCCTCATGGAGCAAGGTGCCACTGTGACCACAAGATGGCAAAGCCGGTCCAGTGGCACCTCAAAACATAAGGATGCCTTACATGTGGGTGCCTGGAAAAGCCATCTCCATGTGCAGGCCACCAGATCATCCTCAAGGAGGGAAATGCACAGGAAACAATGCCTCGCAGCCCGGGCAAGACCCGTACAAAACCCACTACCAAACCACCTGATTTCTCTACTGGACATCCCCTGCCACAGGCCACTGATCTCTGTCTCTTTCACTCATTGTTCACTGAAAATGGAAAGGAATTGTTGCTTCTGCCTTATCTGAGGTCCTCCAACCATTAGGAAACCTACATCTGCCCACACTACAGGCAGAAGAAAGGCTGCAATTTAACTAAAGCTTCTAGAAAGACCTGGCAGACTCTGGACAGCCTCCTAACGACACACTCACTTGAGCTCTTCCAGCACCCAGCAAGTCTGCAAGCCCGTGAACAAGTAACCGAGCCCAGCTGGCAAAATACTGCTCGAGGTCAGCCTGTAAAACAGGAAGGATCAAATAAGAAGGTCAAGTCTCAGCACACTGAGGAAGAGTAGTTTCCTTCACTGACAGGCCAAGTGCCTCATCCAAACCCCAGCTAGCACAGATGTCAGAGACCAGTGAGCTTGGAGAGATTACCACACTTCCCATGTACAGGGCTGTAAGGACAAGGTAGTTCAGAGATGTTCACATGATGTCCATGTAGCAAAGAGCACAGTCTCTGCTTGAGTAAACCAGCATGTCTCTGGGCAGAGGTGCCCTTTATAAGGTGCCTCTCACTTGCAGGCAGTTGAAAAGGGCTGTGGAGAGGACTGAACACTTTTCATACCAGAAAAAGCTCCTTCACACAGTAGGGTGGTATAAAATTACCTACAATGTAAACAAGTGCCAGGGTCTCAGTCTCAAATTGCTTTCACTTCAAAAAATAGGAGAGGAAAAAAACCTCAAGACGTGCCCATTGTGCCCCTTTAGCATGAACTGCAGAGAGCTGTGGAGTTTGCAGCCTAGACATGGCTCAGGAGAGATCACAGAGCTAATGGCCATATTCCAGACAAAGATCCTTCAGAGAGGATCGCAGCAAGGCACAGGGCTGAGCGAATGACAAAGATGTGGAAAAGACCACAGCTGGAGACATACACAAATTTCTTCAGCTCTGGAAGAGGCAGAAAAATCCTGATTAGCATTTCTGCTTCATCATTTTGGAGCTCAACGTGAGACCATCTGCAAGAAGAGAACAACAGATCAGGGCTACATCCACTGATGATGAAAGGCCCGCAACTGAAGCATACCAGTGCTGGGACATTGAAGAAGCGTCATGACATTGATACTTGGCAAAGTCCCATGGGGGCTCCCAGCCATGGTAAGACACTACAGGTTATCTAAGCACAGGGGAGAGATTTAGATGCCATTAAATGATACCCCAGGAAGCCACTAAGTCTATGGGTCTTCTCTATTTTCTATCCAAACACTCTTAAGTAGGGGAACCAGAGGGCAGGGTCTGGGACCTTGTACTGGCCTCTCCCCTGTCCGGCTCCGTGCTCTTCAGCACACACAAGGACAAGCTACACCCTTCCCCCCAAAATTCTCTACAGTGCCTGATGACTCACCTCAGTTCCTGAAGCTGAGCACATTTTTCACAAATCCTTTGGTAGAAGCCAGCGTACTTGATTTCTGGCTTGTACAGATTCAACCTGCAGGACACAAACACACAACACAACTGTCAGTGATAATCAGCGGGTGCCCACTGGGCCAGGCTTAGGAGCAAGTGCCCTTCCTGTGCTCTCCTGCATCCACACCATCTACACTACATCTACATAACAGCCCAGTGTAGAGACACACAGGTCTTTCCCAACTGCAGAATAAGACAGTGTTCTGCCAATGACCAGGCCCAACAAAAATGATACCACCAGCAGGAAGATGAACCAATACACAGACTGTATTGTATACAAGAAGGACATTCCATGAATGATCGCTGGGGGTACAAACAGATCAATCAGCTGGTACAGAATCGATGCCACCCCCAATGATCCCACAAAAGATGGGACCCGGCCCACAACAGGTGGTACAAACAGAGACCCGAGGTTGCCCACAGTTGGCATGGGAAACAGCCAGACCAGCCAGTTAAACACATAAGAGAAAGGTGCCCGCATGGTGCCTCTCACCCAATCGACTTCCGTTCACAAAGGTCTAAAGAGACTGGGGCCCAGCTCCAGGGAGAGTCAGGAGGTCTGCCCTGAACCAGGAAGCTCTGGGGAGTGCACTCCACAGACAGACACTCCTGACTCCCTGCCAGTGGTCCCAGCTTTTATCCCCAAGCAGACACCTGACCTTTGTTCACTCAATGCGGGACCCCTGGGGCTCATTTCCCTTATGGCTCTCCCTGCAGGGCCGGCCGCACCCTGGGGGGAAGCTATAAGGCAAACTCACCACCTCTGTATGAAGGGCTGTGGGAATCACCCATATGTCAACCTTAATTTGGGGCTCAGGGTTCAAACCCCAGCATTTCAGACAGCTGCTGGGTTCTTCAGCTATACAAAGGGGAAAAGACACTACTGCTGCTCTCTCCCCACACATCCCCTTCATGCAGAAGCTGGCATGTCTTAAGAGTCTTCAAAGAACTCATGTCTCCCGAGTGCTCCTGTTCCTGCAGGGGAAGTAGGCAGATTGTTTTTCACTTTGTGCAGGTCTAGTATGGGCCTGAAAGAGGTATGGCACGGAAGACACATCCACGTGAATAAGGTTCCTTTTGCATGTGTGGCACTGAGGCACTCTGGGACTGAACCCACGGAGACTAGAGCCTCAGACACCCTGGAGATATTTTTCATCACATGGTGAGTTTCAGAACAAGCAGAAAATAAGGTCAGAAAGTCACTTTCTCACCTGCTAATGACCGATTCTACCTTCTCCAGATGATGTGGGAACCTTATGCCTAATTGGAAGAGGGGTTTATCTTTACATATCCTGGAAAGGTAGAGATTAGAGAACATCATAAGCCTGTAAACTCATGAGGAAGAACAAATGGTATCTTCCAGAAAAAAAAACAGGACAACTAGATGGCACAGGACTATGCTGATGCATGAATGTTAACCACCCATCTCTGAAGAGGTTTGCAGTATTTAAACTAGTTCCAAAACCAGCCTAATCTGGGCACCCTTTCTTGCAAGGGAGACAAGGAACATGGTCTCATTTCCACTACACCTACAAAGGTGTGAGACCACAAAATTTTTAAGTACTTCTAGCTGCCAGGCATTTGGGTCAAACTTGCTTCAAGATGGCTAGTGGCTGACAAATGCACTGGAGACAGAGAATAAAGAACAGAAGAGCAAGTTGAAGTGCTGGCTTCAATCCCATTTCCTTAAAAGTATCAGGCTAACAGACAATATCTAAAAGACACCAGAACTTGAGGTGCTTACTTACGTGATCTCAGTAATGTTTCCACAGGCCTGGACACCCAGCTCAAGAAGTTTTGTGACACTTTCTTTACGCACCCATGGCTCTTCTATGCTGCAAAGCAGAACAGCGGTAGCTCTGCATTATCACATGCAGGGACCCATCTCTGCCTCTGTCAGCTGAATGCTCAGCACTCTAATAAAACATGGGAAATAATCTGAACACAGAAAGGCTGCTTTTCTCATCAGAGTAATGTCTACCTAGGAAACAGGGCACGATCTGGGAACAGAGAAGCAGCCCAGTGTCCCTGCAGAGGAGGACACAAACATCAGCTTCCCTCCTGCCAGCCTACCACTGACAGCAACAAGAAGGAGCGCAGCCCTTGTGCTCTCATGCAACACATTTTGGGAGAAGTGAAGACTTGGTTGCCCAGGTGAACTGTGGGATGCTCTGGGGAGACTTCTGGTGAGGACACAGCAGGGATGTGTTCACCAGAATTAGCAGCCTTCTTTGGAAGGCAGGTAGGGAATTTCTCAGGTCCATGCTATCTATCTTTGGAAGTGGCACAGTTCACTCTTGGTTTTGATGAAAGGAGATCTTAGATGACCCAACAAGCCCCAGATCAGTATCTAAACCAGCACAGTGACACAGTACCTGATTTTCAGAGGACCCCGATTTTTCCTTAGTGAATGTAAAAGTCTCTCCACAGCCTGGACTGTCATGTTGTTATTTGAGGACCTGGAACCAAAGGTCTTTGTAATGAACAGCTTTCAAACAAGCCCAGACAAAGGGGCCCAAGCAGCCCTTAACTCACATGTACTCTGTCAGACCAGTGCACTTTTCCAAGAGCAAGCACAACTTTTCCAAGTGCTCTGGCTGAAAGTTGCACTCTGCCAGTCTGAAAGGATGCAAAAGAGAACAGTCTTAGTTCCTTACAAACAATTCAGGCTTTCCCATCCAGAAATCTCAGGCATCACAACCCATCCCCACAGAGAAAGGAAGACAGCACCAAAACCTTAAAATGCCTTGCAGGGCTTCTAAAAAGATTGTGACAACACTTCAGAAGCATCTGCTGAGATGTTCTGACACAGCACATGTGCACGCTAAGGGTGCAGCTTTTTGTAGCACCTTGTCCTGTGGCAGGGACTGCAGGCACACTTACAGGTTCCTGAGTGAGGAATGGTAGAGGGAAGCCGTGAGACACTCGGATTCTCCATGACATGAGAAAGCTTTTCTCAAAAAATGAGTCAAAGGAAACTTATCATCTATTAGTGAAAAATATCACTGTGCTGGGAGCTAGCAGGGGGATAAGAGGTTTTGTCTGCCTCATTCCTAAAAAAGGACACCACCTTTGTCAAAGAGATCACCAAAAAAAATCTGTACCATTACCTCAAAATCTTTCTTGAATCATCTCTGCTCATCAACTTGATGATTAAAGTTGCTTTGGAACACAAACTGCACAGAGAAGACGAATGTAAGATTTGGAGGGAAAATTACTATTTTTCACAGAGAATTTGTTAAATATCTCAAATTGCACAAAGTAACACAGTGCAGAAGGGACAGGGGTCCCTGGCCCAGCCCACCTCTCCCTACAATAAACCAGTCCTTGATGAAATGCTTCAGTAAGGTTTTGCTGATGCTAAATTGGCACAAGGCAGCTCTGGTGGTTGGAGAAGCAATCCTGACCTGCCCAGCTTTTGTCTGCCTCCTCCTGTCCCTGCAAGTTCTGAGGGGAGCAAAACCAGGGAACTGATCTGCATATTAGAGTCCAGCAAAAGATTCAACCATCACATTTAATTGCTGGAAGGAATGGAAGTGACCCTGGTTAAATTTGGTTCATGAGAGACCAACTGTTCCACATGAACATCAACATTGGTAATGGCAGATCTGCAGCATGGCCCAGCCTTATGACTTGAATCCATGAGAAAGAGCAGTCCAACAAACCAAAAATCCATGGGCTATTTTTGCCAGAAAGGAAAGGAGATAAAGACACAAATCCAAGTACAGAACATTGGAGATTGCTTTCAATGGACTCACTCTAAATTCTCTACACACTGAAGTGAATTAGGGACCTCATTTTTAGAGAGCAAATTCCGACTCACACCTTGAAGAGATTTATTTACAGACACAGATGTGACCACAATTAATAGAGCTGAATACCTGTGTCTTTAGACACAACAATGACTTGTCTCTGTGGCATAACAGTTCTGTGGCTTCCTCCTTGGAAGCTATATTTGGCCAGTAGAAACAGATGTAACAAAAGATTTGCAAGCACTTATACATCAAGGCAGTTGAAAATGTGTCCCTCATCATTATTACCTGAAGGCCATAAACTTTCAATAATTAGGAGGAAAAAAAGCAGGGAAAAATCAGGAAGTACTGAGGAGAAACACAAACCTGACTTGAACTTCAGTGGTATTCCCAGATGTAGCGAAGGCATTTATGAGATGCAGAACTCCAGCCTGAGAAACCCCATTATGGCTGAGACTGCACAGAAGAGAAGAAAGGTTTTTCAGTTGTTGAGAGTCAAGTTTGTCCCCAGGCTCCTCAGCCACAGAGGTGCAGAGGTGAAATTCAAGTTGGCACTGAAGGCAGAGCAGTTTGTGGGGTGCTGGACCCCTTCAGCTGCGCCAACTGCAGCAAATTCCTCCAAGACACAGTGTGACTTGAGTGACACACCCAACTTCCAGTTTGCCTCTTGCACTACAGAGGATGCTGACTGCTGGAGCAGTTGCTTCCCCACCAGAAAGGGAAGGGAAGAGGCTGGTGTAGGGCACAGCTAAGCCCCCAGCACCTATGGGCCTCAAGTTATTCACAAAGGACAACGTATGCAGAAAAGTGATGAACTGAACACTCAGCGGACTGGGTCAACTTCTGTCACACTGACCCACCACAGGCCTTGTTATCTCCTGCTGATGCTGATTTATTTCCTTCAGCAGGTTTTGGATCAGACCGTGAGTCACCTTGGCCTGGAGATCTTGAGTTGTGTTCATGGCTCACTCCAGACCCTAACTCCTAAGGCAGGAGGGGGCAAGAATCAGGATAACCAGATTCAGGAGGAATCGTGTGAGCACCTTTCTGCCAGGGCACCTCACATTCACAGTATGTTTACTTACTTGAGAGAACAGCTAATGAGCACTTGATGCAAGTGGTCCAAGAGGCATCTCAGGCCTTCATCTCCCAACTGGTTCCTGGAGAGACTGGAAGGCAGAAGAAAAAGATGGCCAACCAGAACTCAGCCTTTTAAGCAGCAATACTCCTTTGAATAGCTTTGAAAGAAAAAGCCAAACTTCTGGACTCCAATCTCAGCTTGGCCATTAAAGGTCTGTCACTGCTGCCCTGCAAAACTACCTCACGCATAAGCTCCAGAGCAAGCTCAGATGAAGAGCTCTGAACATAAGCTCAGAGCTGAACTCAAAAGAAGCAACAAATGCCTTAAAACAGCCACAGAGTGAAAATCCCAGGGAACTTGTTCCACCAGATCAAGCCCTCTTAAAATATACCTATACAGGACCTGTACGTTTTCCAGTCAGTTTTGTTTCTAGTCAGCAGGAGTGCAGGTAACACACAGGGGCAGGCTGAGAAAGCCAAAGCAATGCTGAACCCCTCCAACCCAACTCTCCCTCAAGTGACTCCTGTTCAAGGTAACGACCCAATTCCTACTTACTCCAATTCTGCCAGCCACCTGTGTTGCTCCAGGACTCTGCAGAGCTCATCTATCTGCCCTTCACCGATAGCACAGTCCGTCAGCCTGCACATGAGACAGCAAGAGAGCTAGAGCACAGCTGGCAACCAGGCTCAGCCTGAATGGTGAGAGCTGCTCAGCAGCAGCTGCATTCTTAAATCACTCTCTGGGCAACTTGGTGAGAGATGCTCAGTAGCAGCTGCATTCTTACACCACTCTCTGGGCAACTTTCACCAAGATCAATGTGCCCTCAAGCTGCACGACTGCTTGCACCACTTCTTGTAACCCCTCGCTGAGGTTAGGGATGACAAACCCCATGTCGCAAGCAGCAAACAGACCACGTCACATTTTCTGCCAGCTCCTTGGTGCCTAACTGGAACATGGAAACATGTTGCAGACTTCCTGACAGGGGCACCCAGCAAACATAACTCCCTGAGAGGTTGCAGATGTACCACATACACCACAGCAATGCTCATGTGGTGCAAATCACACAGAATTTGAGGCACACATCTGGCCAATGCAGTGGCTAGGGCTCAATTCCATTGCTGTGCAGCAGAATTTGGTGCCACTCAAGATGATCGTGAGTAGTCCAGTGGTCACTGAAGAAAGGTGCAGGCCTCTGACATCCCAAAGCATCTCAAATGGTACGGAGTTCCACTTAGGCAGCAGAATTGAGCCCCAAAGCTTCAACTGCTAGCCCAGGCTCCTTAACTGCCAGCCCATGAATTCTTCATACGTGAAAAGATTTGGCTACTTAGGAGATGTGGGGAGGTTTGGCTTGAGGAGGTTTAGGTTGGCTATTAGGAAATATTTCTTCACTGAAAGGATTATCAAGCCCTGGCACAGGGTGCCCAGAGAAGTGGTTGAATCACCATCCCTGGATGTGTTTAAAAGTCATGTAGATGTAGTGCTGAGGCACATTGTTTACCAGTGGACTTGGTAGAGTTAGGTTAATGGTTGGACTTGATGATCTTAAAGGTCTCTTCCAACCTAAACCATTCTATGATTCTGTGATTCTATACCTGCACTAGCTTTTAAAACCTAATCGAAAGAAGTGAATAATAATTGTTGTATGCTAGTACCTGCAGGATGTCTTTTGGCTTCTCATGCTTGCTCTTAAATTCAAAAAAGCATTTTCACTTGACCTGAAGTGAATACAAAGGACAGTCCTTCAGCAATTCTCTTCAAAGATGACAAGCTTTATAGCCCTTCTAAAGATGAGCTGCTGGGCTCCAAACAATCTGAGCACCTTACCGGACTTCTACCATTCTGATCCGCTCACAGAGGTTGATGGAGTTGGTGAGGAAGACAATGCAACGTGGGGAAAATCTGTTATTCCTAATACTGCAAAGGAGGGGAAAGAAAGAACAACAAAATCAGCTCCCAAGAAGAAAGGTTCTGATATGCACGGCCCAATTTTCCCATTGTTTGCTTTGAGATACAAAAGGCTGGCTCCACCCCATGTAACACAAGTGCAGTCTACAAGGATCTGAAGTTTTCAGCATTGGTACCCAGCATTCTTTTAACTAAAACAGAGTCATCTTTAACTAAAAGGGAGTACAGACCAAAGGTTTACAACTACTTCTCAGGGCTACTGGACTGATACCTCCTGAGCAGTCAAATTCAGTCTGTTGAGACACTGCAGCTTCTCCATGCTACAACATCTTTTAAAAGATGACCCAGCTTCTTCTGGGCTTTTTGTCCACATGGTGGGAGTGCCCTGGTCCCTGACAGCACCTCTCTAGCTTAAATTCTCAGCCTCTAAATGGCTGATACGCTGCCAGAAAACACTTTTGGTATCAGAGGTCCCTTCAGGGGCAGAGCTGTGAGATGGTGACTATGCAAATGCTCCTCTGAACAGCTTTAAAGGAAAAAGCCAAAATTCCTAGACTCCAGTCTCAGCTCGGCCATTGAAGGTCTGTCACTGCTGCCCTGCAAAACTACCTCATGCATAAGCTCTGGAGCAAGATCAAATGAAGAGCTTTCTGAAATGAAGAGCTCTGAACCCACAGATGGGTGGTCTGCTGTCACTGTGTGTCAACCAAGTCCTACCTCTGTTACAGATGCTGGAAGTCAAATTCCATGAGACCTGATAAGTGAGAATTATCTAGGATGCTGTGCCTAGGGTGGATATTTTCCCTCCTGTCCTATTTTTTCCCCTTTATATATCAGAGAAAAAGCTTCAGTGCTGCTTTGGTTGAAGAAACAAGACAGGACTGGCTGTGAAAGAGTTTCTGCATGTTTTTTGCGTACCTCATTAATCTAAAATTACTGATTAATTCTCCTAAAATATACTGTGAAATCAGCACTTTCCAAACCAATGTTTCATGGCAGCAATCAAAGCAGGGACCCCAAACATCACCTCAGTAGTGTCAGATGGCAGAGGTGTGGCAGGAAGCTCAGTAATCTCTCAATGCTCTGGTCATGCAATGAATTTCCAGACAGACTGTAAAACACAGAAGGAAGGAATGAAGGAAAGAAATTCCAAAAGAAACTGGGGCAGTCTGTAAATATATAAAATCTACATGGACATGCATAAACACACATGCACGAGGGTGTTACAGGCAAGTTCTGAAAAAGGACATGTCCAGAAATGCCCTGGAAGTTGGGCAAGATTTAGCCCTTACAGACTCATCTCTGTGTTTCTCTACATCCTAGAGCAAATTAACAGTCCAGTTTTAAGAGTCTTACTTTTCCATTACTGTAAATTTATAAAATGATACTACTGATGTATCTCATCAGTATACTGATGTATCTCATCAGCTATATATGTAGCTCTTCAGGAGTTCAGTTCACAGCCTAGTAAACCAGGTGCTCTTGCTCTGGCTGTACAAGCCAAGGTCTTGAGGAGCAGATGACAGCGCTTTTGTCTAAACACGTGATTAAGGAAGACAGTGAGATGTTCTATATGTGTTCTAGGGTGTTTACACACAGACATGAGTAGACTTAGGAGAGGTCAAACTCTGAAACAGAGAGGACAGTAAAAGGTGTGGGTTTATCCAAGCATCTCGGTGAAGTTTTCAGGGGGCTTCTAGGAGGCTGTGGTGAGAGGAGAGTCAGTTTATGCTAGCTGCTAACCTGAACAGTGACTCTGTGTGTGTGGGCCAGGGAGACAGACAGACAGGCAGGCAGGCAAAACACTTACTCAATTTCTGTCAGACAGGGACATTGAGTGAGTATCTGGCACAGCTTGGTCACATCCTCTGGATCCAGCCTGCAGTTCCTGAGACTGAAGCAAACAAGGCACTCAAGAGCTAAACATTTCCCATGACCACAGCATGGCAACACTGCACTCATATCCCAGAGCCTCCCGTCCCAGGACGAGGCCCATAGCAACCCTCTGTTTACCCAGAGTCCAGGACTGAGGAGTCAAAACTTGTGACAACCAGATGATTTCACCAGCTCTGAGATAATTCCAGAAAGCAAGCCCATCAAAATATCATGTCACTTTGGGTGTTGCCTTCCTAGAGCAACATTATTGGTACTTAAATTGTCTCAGGAGACTGGACAGCAACTTTCCCTTCTCAGCACTGTCTCAGCTCTCCCAGAGCAAGGCTGGGAATGGGGTCTCCTATGTCCTTCTCCAAGAAAGAAATGATGGAAACCTTCCCTGGCAGGTCTCTGTGGGATGAATTTGGCAACCAGCCAGATCTATGTCTCATCATGTATGGGCAGAAGCTTCCTCTGCAGGAAAGCAAGGCAATCCCCTCAAGCCTAGCCCAGCAAAAGACACACTATTTATCTTCCCATAGATGCCTATGGCAGTGGACATCCCAAGTCTATCCCAAAAGGGTGTATTATTCATTTGGGCATCTCTGGCATATCACTGTGTCCCTTCAGTGGCCACAAAGTACAAAAACCTGTTGGCCTGGCTTGATGTCAGCCAGCCCGATCTCTTTAAGGCTTTGCCAAATGACACCAAATAAGATCTAGGCAGGCAGGGCACCAGACAGCTCTCTGAGGAGACACAGCTGGAGGGAGGGGTCTGTTCCACACATAATGCTACAGATACCGACCCTCACAGCCACCTCTCCCTACACTCCTAGGTGACAAAAGGAAGCTGGAGCTGCCATACCGAAAGCATTGTCCTTTTGCTTCATGCTTGGGATGTGCCAGGAAACTACTTCTCCATCTGCTGGTACTCCTGATCCTGGGGAAAGAATGGTTTACCCCATGAGTTGTGCTGATGTTATTGCCCCAGAGTAGCTGACTCCCCACACTGCAGCTGGGGAAGAGGGTGACCTGGTGACACTGGCCCCATGCTCCAGTGTGGAATCGTGATTTGCAGGGTGATATGTTTTGCTGAGCATGGACAATCAGTGCAGGCAGTAAGGCTCTCGTAGGCCTGAGAAAGTCCGTAAAGTAACTTTGAATACCCAAAATATTTAGAGTTAGTGAATTCTGTTGGCTGCTTGCTCAGACAAGAATGTTAAACACTGATTCTATGAGTTATGTAAAGGCTGACAGAGCGCATGGACAGAGCATGGACAGTGACTTTTATCAATCAGTAGCTCAACTTAGGCATGTGAACAGGCTTGTTAACCTATGGGGTTGAGGGGGCTGTCTCTTGCCTACTATAAAATACTGTAAAACTTTGCAATAAACAGATTTGACTGCAGACCCCTTGGAGTATGCATCTTTTCTCCAGAGCTCCTTCCTGACACTCCAGTCTGCCTTTTCTCACCACCTGCCAGAATTAGGTTCACATCATCCCCAGAAGAAAAAGGGCCTTAGCATCCCTCTTCCAGCCTCCAGAAATTTCTGCATTCACTCCACACTTCAGGGATTTGCTCAGCCCTGGCCCAGAGAGGAGATGACTGCAGCCCCCATCAGCAGCTGGACACTGCTGTCTGCTCCATACCCTCAAGCCACCATCAATCATTCAGACACAGAGCACCTCACCCTACTCCCACCACCCTGACTGAAGCTTGGAGCCAAATGCCCCTTTAACTGGCACACTTCAGGGAATCACACATTGACATCTATTTAAGATTTCATAAGGAGGCATCTGAAAGGCTTCAACAGATGAGTGGGTATGATTTTACCTGGTTCTTTCCCAAAAGGTCAGATGAACCACCTGCATGTGTCCTAAACTGTAACCAGAAAAGAATGTAATTAGGATGGATTTTGAAGACACATGCTCCTGTATCACTCCTCAAAACCCACAGCTTGAGGTTTTCAATAGGAAAAAAAAAGGATAAGTACTAATGGTCATACCTGAGGTCCATTGTTTTCACGCGTTTCAGTCTGGATAAGGACTGAGCTAAGACAAACACAGAATTCAGGGAGATCTGGTTGTTATTAAGCCTACAGGAAGAAGAGATGAAATCAGCTGCTGCAACCAAAAACTACCAGCAATCTCCACCAACTTACTCCTTCTCCAATGCTCTCAGAGACTGCTGCTTTGCCAAATTCTGCCTGTGTTTCCAACTACGGTTCTGCAAACTCCAATATTTTTTTTATATTTGACCCTCAATTTTAGAGCTCAGAGAATCACTGAATAATCGAGGCTGGACTAACTGACCTCTGGAGATGACCGAGTCAAATTCTGGTGCTTAGAGGAGGTTAGACTAGAGCAGGCTCTTCAGGACGTTGTCCAGCTGGGTTTTTAACCTCTCCAAGGATGGCGAATCTGCAGTCTCTCTGGGCAACCTGTTTTAGTGACCATCCTTGCCACACAAGTTTTTTCTTATTTTTCAATGCAATTCCTTGTACTTCAAGATACCAATGCAAGGCAAAACTAACTCTTTGCTGTAAGTGGAGTTGTGGCAGCATGAAACCCACAATAATAAAGATCACGCTCAAGTCTGTCAGGTTCATCACAGTATCTATCTAGTGTGACTGTGGGCAGTGTGCTTGATGCTGGGGAAAAGAACAGATAAATCATAGAATCATAGACTGGCTGAGGTTGGAAGGGATACCAGAGATCATCTCATCCAACCTCCCTTCCATGGGCAGGGACACCTCTCAACTAGACCAGGTTGCTCAAGGCCTCATCCAGCCTGGCCTTGAACACCCCCAGGGAGGGGCATCCACAACCTCTCTGGCAATCTATCCCAGAGTCTCACCACACTCCTACTGAAGAACTTCTTCCTAAGATCCAGTCTAAACCTGCTCTCCTCCAGTTTAAACCATTTCCCCTTGCCCTGTTGCTGGACACTCTTGTGAAGAGTCCCTCTCCAGCCTTCCTGTGCGTTCCCTTCAGGTATTGGAGGCAGTTCTAAGGTCCCCCAGAGCCTTCTCTTCTGCAGGCTGAACAATCCCGGTGCCCTCAGCCTGTCCTCATAGCAGAGATGCCCCAGCCCCTGGATCATCTTTGTAGTCCTCTGTACTCCTTCCAAGAGCTGTGTTTCATTGCACTGATGTGAAGGGAAGCTGCAGACTGTCAGCAACTGGAGCAGTCTCGGCTTGAGAACAGTTCAACTGATCAAACAGGAACAATAAATATCTCTTTTTTAAAAAGGTAGAAAGGAAGACTCTGGGAAGTACCTCCCTGTCAGCCTCACCTCTGTGCCTGGGAAGATCATGGAGCAGATCCTCCTAGAAGAAATGCTCAGGCACATGGAGGGCAGGGCAGTGATTCAAGAGTCAGCACAGCTTTACCAGGGGCAAGTCCTGCCAGACCAATCTGGTGGCTTTCTACAATGAAGTCCACCACAACTGGTGGACAAAGGAGGATCTGTGGACGTCACCCCTCTTGACTTTGCCTTTGCCTCTGACACCATCCCCCACTACAACCTCCTTTCTAAGCTGGAAAGATATGGGTCCAGTGGGTGGACTGTGTGAGGAACTGCAGAATATGAAGAATGCCTCAACATTGCCAGTGACTTGGGGACTTGGACAAGAACAAGGTGCCCTTGAGCTGTGGAGGGGGGGCTGACTCTCCCCGGCGGGAACCCCAGTTCAACCAGCGTGCTCCAAGCTGGTTGAGTGGTGGTTGGTGGAGAAAGAACCACAATGTCTTAACGTGGAGGGTGGAGAGGAGCAGAGAGGCGTGAAGATTCCACCAACCACAGGTGGTGGAAGATCGCCTCTCCTGGCCAGCAACCTGTCAAAATGCTGGAGCTGTGGCTCCAGCCCCATACCAGCTACTTGCGAGAGACTTGGGGTTTTTTCTCTGGCTCTTTTTCTCTTGCTCACTTGTTTGCTCCCTCACCCGCCCTCGGATCCAGACGATTTCGTGGACTGCACCTTCTCCTGCTCTGCTCTCTGCCACCCTCACTGGACCTGGGAGGGCTGCTCCAGACCAGAGTGTCTCTGTGCCCGCAGGACCTGGCGGTGACAACAGACCCGAGACTCACAGTGGTGGTGATCTCTCTTTCTCAATCTCTTTTTCTCTCCTTTTTCTTCCTCTCCCCCCCTTTTCCTCTCTTTCCTTATGTTCTAAGTATAAAATAAATGGTTCAGCACTTGACTCCATTTGAGTCTTAATTCTGTTCTCCGGGACTATCCGATAACCCCATCATGGTAATCTGTCCAATTGGGCATCCCTCAGAAGCTCAGCTCAGCCTCCCCCAGCCACCCAGCATAATCTGAGGTCGGTTGGAAAGCAAGGGGGTTTAACTTCTGCCAAAACGTATTGCAAATCAACAGGTGGATCATGACAGACTGTTCGGTGGATAAGACACCGGCTGGACGGTCGCACCCAGAGAGTTGTGGTCAATGGCTCGGCGTCTAGCTGGGTAAAAGTGACAAGTGGTGTCCCTCAAGAGTCCACACTGGGACCGGTGGTGTTTAACATCTTCATCAATGACACAGACAGAGGCATCGAGTCACCCTCAGCAAGTTTGCTGACAATACTAAGCTGGGTGGTGCAGGTGACATGCCAGCGGGACAGGAGGCTACCCAGATGGACCTGGACAGGCTGGAGAAGTGGACTCAGGTGAACCTTGCGAGGTTATACAAGACCAAGTGCAGGGTCCTGCAC